TCGGAGGCTCCGCGATCCATCATCAGCTCCGGAGTGTCTGGGGCAACGAGACCAGCAGCTGTTAATCGCAACTCTACTCCAGTAATAGACGTGTCAGCACCTTCCTCTGCCTGCTGCGATTATACGCGTTTAATGATATATTATGATTATATTCGTTTAACTGAGGATGAATTGAATTAAATCTCCCTAAAAAGCCACGGCTTTGAGAGCACTGAGGTTCAGCATTGGTTTCAGTCGGACAGAATTGCAAAGGGGCCAATTTACACTGGACGTTGATGTGATCATAATTCAGTTCCCTGTTCCTGGCTGCAAGAAAAGGGAAAATGAAAGAGGAATACTGACGACAAGTTGAAAAATTTCAAGCAGAATTTCTGCATGCTTCGGCCTCAGTTTACATGATCTTGGCGCCATCTTGTCTTGATGGATCTTCATCTCCACGTTGAGCTTGCCTGGTGATGTCAGTATTGCACCATTATGAATAATTTAATCCCGCAATCCGCTGAAAACAAATAGGGCCTTTCCAGTCCTCCATGCTCCATGTAAGAAGAACCTCACCCTATTTGGTATGATTCTTGGCAGCCAAACTCCTCGCATCTCTAAGTTTTTTTTCCAACACAAGCACATTCCGCTCTACATTCAGCTTACACTGTTTACATGCTTAGGTTTATGGTGCTGAGTATATTGTATTGGGCAAGAAGCTGACACTGGATAATGGATCCCAGGTAATTTGTTCTGCAAAAAATTCCTAACCAATTATTTAAGCATCTAGACACGCCACAAACGTAACCTATCACAGGTGCGCTGGTATGCACTTTGCCACTTTACAGGAAGACTTTGATTATTATAAATACAATTTCACTTATAATTTTCCTGATAGTTTGCGTATAAATAAACCAGCGGCAACACAGCACTTGTCGCTAAACCCTTCTCCTGGTCATGAGACTGTCCCGTTTTTCGAGGCTGCACATGACACAGCTGTCAGATAAGATGTCACTGTCAATTTGCAGTAGGGAGACCTAACGTGTTAGCAGGAGGCTGCAGAGTCGCATTCTATGCATTCGCGTCAACCCAGGTATCTAAAAAAAATGACAAGCTGTATTGCAATAGCGCATAAAATATAGAAGCTATGGGTAAATTATTGACTGGCCAGGGTTTCTTATACCAGGCTTGAATACTCATGGTAATTTTAGCGCCTTATTAAAAAGGAACAGCATGAATTGTCTACGTTAAGGTTTTGCGACAGTCAATGGCTAAAAAGCTTTTCCATTTACTGTCAAGTATAATGACAAAAACACTCATTTAATTCAGTTGTTTTCGGTGCGATAAAGAATGGCGAACGATGTCTTCTGGGATACCATAAAAACTAGGCTATTAATAGAATGTTAATAATTAATGAACATAAATGGACCATTGATTATTTTAGACTCCATACATTTTAACTTGTTTTGCTCATTGTCTTTTTAAAGAATCAACTTCCCAGTGAATAAGAAAAAAAAACTTATATTTAGGCCCCGAATGAAATATATCAGCAAAATACATGATGCACCCACCATATTTCAGCATCTTAAACAAAACAAATGGACAAGAACATCTAAATTAGCCCACAAAGAATAATCTGCACTGCTGTCTGATCTATTATTAAACATTATCTTTTCATTTTCAAGTCTTTAAGTTCACTTAAGAAGAATGGCTAATTGTTTTCACGGTAGTGTGTGAGCCATCGTCTGATTTAATTACCTCAGATGCTATTGTCCCCTGAAAGCCTGGAAACACGACTTTCCTGTGATGTTTTTCCCTCTCATGCGTGCTTGGTAATATTTGCATATCTAAATTAGATCAGGTTGGCTGGACCAGCTATGTCCCTCCCCAAGTATATTGTGTGCCCCCCCGTGCCCTTGCTTCCCCCTCCAGCTATATCTGCTCTCCGCTGCACAAAATTACTCGCGACACATGATTTCAGTGCTTACTTTCTAGCAGGACTTGTACTGTATCTGCTGCATTTTAAACATAACGGCCAATTAATCAATTTAAAATGCAATTTGTCAGCAATACAATTCTAAGAAGCTTTGCAAACAAAAACAAAGTTGGAGAAAATTTGAATCAAGCATTCGAGTTCACAAGCATTTTCATTTTTATATCTGCAGCACAAGCAATTCACTAATACACTGTTTAAAACCCCACAGTTTCAATAATATTTCTAAGTGTAAAACACCTGTCCTCTTTCGCTTTTTCATTGGGAAGAGAAGATCTAAAGTGCCTTCAGATTACAAGAAAAAAATGACCTGCTTGACAAATACAACACGTATGTTCATTCATCTGCTATACCGCTTGTTCTAAATAGGGTGACAGGGATTCAGAATCTATCCCGAAAACAATGGCTACATGGCAAGGAATAATGTGGAGGAAACCCCAGGATGGCACAGAGAGAACATGGGAACTGCACACGCTTAGAGCTGGAACAGCGAATCAAAACCTGGATTTCAGAGATACAGTACAAGGCGACTGCATTAACCATGTTACAAACACGCCACCCAGGGCGGGCTTCTGTCAACCTGAAATCAATGGACTCTTGAATTCCTGCTGGCTTTAGATTTTAGTTTTAATGCTTTAAAACTTTAAAACTTCAGTTCTTTGGGTACAGAGTGATGAGACCAATAGTGATTCCGCTGTATTGTTACATCAGTAATTTGTAAAATGAGGGGAACGCTCTTACACTGCTAAAACTATGATTGATTATTACAGGTGAGAAAATCAAATGCAATGACCTCGAAATTCGTTTCCTTAAGAGAAAGTGGTTTTTACTTTGAGTTGAACAACATTTCCTGCTTAATTCACTAGATGGGGATCGAGAATAAACCTATGGCACATTAACTTAAAAAGGGAATCAAACAAGAATATTTCTTACTGCCCGGCTAAAAAGTAATGAAAGAAAATTCAGTTTAGCAAAGAATGTAATAATATTATATAAATATATATCATATATTGTTTCAGTATCATTATTGCTTCTATACACTTAATTCTATACCTATAAATAGATTTCGGTAAAGTTCAGTCTAGAAAAAAATGAATGTGTAGGAAATATGTGCAAACAATCTTGCGAATTTGCTTTGTCATCTTCTTAGATTAGATTTTGATTATCTCTCAATGTAAAAAACAAACAATGATAATAGAAATTTTGCCTGCCGGTGCTCAGAAAAATAACAGAGCAGAGGCACATCCAGAAGCAATGTGAATTTTGCGCGTTTAGAGATCAGTGTATAGAACCAACCCTCCTTACGGGTAAGTGTCATATGCGGTTATGGATCGAGCCCCATGCATGAACTTTACAGACTAGGGGGGGGGGGTACTTAATTGATTTGAACATGGCTAATATGTTCTGCTGCTGCTGAACCCATCAATCTGACCAACTCCTACGCTAATCTCTTCGGTGCAAAAGCAGAATCCGACGTGTAGGCTGGCAGAGCCGCTGAAACGGACCAAATGGCCGGGGGGGCAGGATAACGATGCAAAGGTTACGACAGGTAACGAGGATAATAAAATGGGCTGTTGCATAAGAACTTGCTTTCTGGGGGCACACATGGAAATTAATTACATAAACACACTGATTATTTCCCCGTAATAGCTGACAATGTAAAGGATTTTAACAGACCATCTAATTAAACAGATGTTTCATATTCAGAGTGCTGGTAAGATACCCATGGTAATTGCTTGCATGTAATGAGACACCAGGGAAAACAGCTTAATAATGTATGGAAAAAAGCTTTGAGGAGTACTTAATAATTAGGCCTATATTATCCGTTTCTGCGTTAACACTGTACTGCCACTATACCGTGTGTGTGTCTGTATATATATATATATATATATATATATATATATATATATATATATATATATATATATATATATATATATATCGCGAGAGAGAGGGAGAGAGGGAGAGGGAGGGAAAGCTCTAAAAGTGAAATAGATACATAATTGATAGCACCGTAGTCGACTTCTGGAATAACTTCTATTGTAGCACTATGTTACTAAAGTAGGTTCATAGGTTCATCCTGATTTATAGTAACTTGTCTGAAAATTATTATTGCACCTTGTTTTTGCCTATATTATAGGGTTTGTTCTGTATTGTATTCTCTATCAGCGGTCACCAACTGGCGAAATTCAATTGAATTCAGACAGTGCGATCGATTCCCTCACTCGGCAAATTTTACCGTCGGGACCCCCCAGGTCGGTCAATTTAATCGCCGAGACCCCCCCGGACGCAGCAGACCATGGCCTTGTATTTTTGCTGGATTTTAGCACTCTGGGAAAAAAATTGTTGGGGGGCCCGGTTTTGCACACAGTTATTGTCTCCTTTCCCTCTGCACTCAACCGAAGTCAGTCCCTTGATCTATATACAGTATGTTCTTCAAAAGGGCAATAAAGTGTTCTCACTTAAGAGTTCATGTGCATGCAATCATTTATGCATTTACATATAGATATATCCACATAACTCTTCAGAATATAACCTCCTTCGTAATATCTAAACTTATTCGCAACATCGTTCATAATATCATAATTGCTCACACTGTAGCCTAATTGTTGTAGGGCCCATTACGCCTATATAATATTATTTCGGAAAACTTAATAGTTTTTTTAATATTGTGTGTTTAAGGTGGCCCTTAAGTGCAGAGCACAACACATTAATCAAACTTGACAATAAGTTAAACGAGAAGAGAATACAAAGCACAGCACCATAATTGTTTTTCTCGTTCTTTTGTGGTCTCTCACTGTTTGTGTTTTTGAATGATTTTCTTATGTTTTGTGTTTTATCTTTTTCTTTTCTTCACGAGCTGTGGTTTTGCGCTTCAGCGCCGCCGCATCTAAACAGAAACAGTGTGAAACTCCAGCAGCGGTATGTGCGCCGTCCCGATCCCGGGAAACCCGCAGTGACCCGCAGGAGAGCAGAGGATCGCGCCCCCCCCTCTCCCCAAGCCCCTAACGGAGGGTCGTTGAGGGGAGGGGCAGCTTTCAGCCGCCGTACACGCGGAGCTCGGCGGCCGCCGCGGCTCAGCGCTCTATTGTTCCGCGGCACCGGAGACCGGTCTCCTACGCTGAAGGTGTTCAGAGCGGCAAGCAGCTGAGAGCAGAGCGACAGCGGGGAAGGCGAGGACAAACCGCCCAGGCTGCCTCCTGTCACCAAGGAACCCGGCTCAGAAGGACAAAAAAGCGCCTGACATCTGCTTTTTCCTTATCTTTCTTCTCTGTGTTGACTCAGTGTTTTGCGTGGATTTAAACGCCTTTGAGAGTCATGCCGTTCTGCGGCACGGAGTCGGGCTCCTTTCACGCCCTCTGGGGCACGGTCCCCTGTCTGTGGAGAATAGTGCTTCTCTTTTGTGGTGCCTGGGATGTTCTGGCACAAACTGCGGGGGAAACAAAGTCAGTATATACCTGGAAAACAGGTACGTCTACCCATTTTCCCACGCTAGACAGAGTTACTCCAAGGCTTTACCGTAAATTATTTATGGCAACGTAACCAACGCATGTAGGTTCCCAATGTCAGTCTTGTTGGATAATAAGCACCGTTATTTTTTTAGAACCAGAAGAGTATTTTAATTAAAGTAGTTCTGCTACTACTGTATATTCCCGTGCTCTGGAATGTGTCTTCACTTCTGAAAGTTCACAAAATAATCGTGCATATAGCTATTATGTAGACCTACAAATACAATGCAATTAAATAATGCTTTCATTTAACTTATGTATGCATTGAAGTTCTGCAGAACATTTTTAAAGCAAGCTAATCGTGTATCGTTGAACTGTGGTCATTCGGCATCAGAGATTTTTTTGCCTTTCTGTATTATCTAATATATTTATATTATTACCGAACAAGTTGTATAATTTCTTATTTGTGTTTCTAGGACACAATCAGTAAGAAATATGGGGAAATAGATCAGTAGATAGATGGCAGTACATACAGTTTTGGGTCTTCGCTTAACCATGACCCTGATACTGGAATCCACATGTATCAGCGAAATGGAGACGGGCTCTGGGAACAGACTCGGATGTTAAGTGAAACACAAGCAATCATAGCATGGATGATATCGGGTCAATGTTATTTCAGTGGTATCCCAGAAAATGAATGGTTCCACTTCAGTAAGGAATAAATAGCTATATTGGTTTTGGGGTGTGGGGGTGCGGTTGTGTTGGCGTTCAGTATGTAGTATCAGTGATGTCCTGGATTGTAATAATAGCAGATATTTTCTGAGTTCAATCTTTCCTGAGTTATAGAAACAGAACAGTTTTCTTTAACATGCCATGTGAAGGGAGTGTATTTGGTATTCAATATACCTGTCTACTACGCAGTACTCTTTTGATATACATGCATTTTTACATTGTTTGCATATTATATGTCTTGTGTGCTTGAGTCAGTCAGCTCTGAATTAGGTAGTTGCTGTATTAGTGCTTTGAACATGGCTAATATTACCCAGGATTTCCACAGGTATTCCACAGGTAAAACAGCATGCATTCCAGTATCTGTGAGATATGAATACAAGGTATAATTAATAATCAGAAATCCTCCTGCTCATCTGGATAAGGGAAGCCCAGGATTAATGTACCCATCATCTGAACTCCTTCTAAAAGTGGATGTAAGTGAACGGCTGGAATTTCCAGCAACAAATGGTTGTCTGTGAAAGGAACCTGGACATAATCTCCTTTTAAGATACAATAAGTGGATTTTACTCTCGGGTGAACAAGTCTGATCTTTAGGTCCTGATGCTACAGAAATGACGTTATGGTTGTCTTGTAGCATGAATGGTCCCTTTCTGTAGAGGCGAGTGAGGAGAGTGACGGGGGTCGTTTAACCTTTTACTTCCAAATCCCGTTTCTTTATGTAAGGCACGATAATGGATAATGGGTTGACATATTTCTTCACAGGCTTTAGTGAATTTCCTGGGGATAAGCTTGGCGAAATTCAGCTCATGCTTCCGGATGGTACAGAAATAGCTTCTGGTGTTCATGAGAATGTGATCTCTTTGGAGAGCAGAGTGACATTTGCCACAGGACAGAGCTTTAAGTGTTTAATCTCGCTCCAACAACTATGCTATCACTGCTACAATTACTGCTGCTGTTACTATATGATTGAACAAATTTTGTTTATAATTGCCTCCTTTTGGTAATATTTTAGTCATCCTCTCTCTTGAAGCGCTGGATGCTCTAACGTTTAGGTAAATACATAGATAAGGAATAGCAAAAGAATAGTCTGCAACCCTTAGAGCAACCCTTTTGAAAACTGCGGGGATCCAGTATGAAAAATCAATAAAAATAAAAAGAATCATAACTGGAGGAATCTAACACACAGTGGAGTGACAGAGAGCTGCTGGAAAGATAATGGTGACAGTATTTAGGTGTCATGTGCTATTTAATGACAGAATCTTCACGTTATATATAAAAGGTTAAGTGATGGCAGTAATCAAACACTACGCTGCATTCCAGACCATCATGCTGATTAACCAATTAAAATTACACGTTTAATTACCTGTTAGTCAGATCGCAATTTTTACAGTTGCTGTCAGAAAAATATACCAGTTTGGGATCCAACAGCTGGTCCCATCCTGCGATGTCTGTTTCCAAATGCATAACCGTTGCCATTTAGAAATATAATTATTTCACAACTCGCTAACATTTGGCAAAATTCTTAGGAAGATGCCATTGCATAAACAATCTTTACTTGTAAATGTTAGTTACCTTAATGTTAATTGGAATGACTAGCTGTAAGGAAATGCAAGTTGTGTGACTGATGTTTTTCGCTCATTCCATTTACTAGGATGTCAGTGAGGTTTGTTGTCTTCAACAGATGTGTTGCTTAAGATATTTTGGTATATTTATGCATGTTAGGAAGTGACATTGTACATCCTGGGCTCTGACATGTGTAGTGAATTTATTTTCAGCTCGACTGTACATACTTTTCCTACATGTAAATAAGAGCAGTCTACTTTCCGTATCGTACACCTCGCACCGAGAGACGCTCTGGTTTGTACGCTGTATCTGACGGTGTTACTGCCACCCTGTGCAAAAACAAAAAAACATGCTGATACTGAGATGATTCTGGGGGGCTCCTGAAAAATCCCTGCCTGCAGCCAGCCTCTGACCTGTGCTTCAAAGACTCCGGTAAGCGGATTCTGTCTTGGAGAAAGAGCAAGCTGATGGCTGATAATCACTTAGACTAGCTTGTGTGTGATGCTCTCAGATTTCATGTTATCGGCTGGTAAAGGCACAGAGCAACTATACTTGCAGCTGGGAATCTCAAGGAAAGGCTTTAGCATTTTGAAAGAAAGAAAAGTCCAAAGGTCCATAAATCAATCAATCAATCAATCAATAAATAAATCAATCAATCAACCAGTGTCAGTCTATCTATCTATCTATCTATCTATCTATCTATCTATCTATCTATCCTTCTTGTGACATAATTGGATTTCGCCTGACCTTCTCAACGTCCATCCATTCAACCAACCCCTGGGCTACGATTCATGCTGTCCGCTGTTTGAGCATGTTCTCATTTATCAGGAGGACACAGAGGAATTCCTTTTCGCCGTCCTGAGATATTTGCCTGTGAAAACCTGCAAACTGTAGCACGTCAGTCTCCCTAGAGTGATGTCTGCAGTGTAATTTTTTGGTTCATCGCTGGCACTGGAAGCAAGGATGAGGAGCAGAGAAATATTTTTTTATTTCATACTTTTCCTCCACGTTTAGGGCCTTAACTCTTAGTTTGCTCCGCTGTCAGATGCAGATTACAGAAGGGTTCTTCCTGATTTTCTTTGGACTTGCCAAAGTGCCATGACACATTTCCTTTCAATATAGTTATGGTCACTTACTCATCCTAAATGGCTGTAAATACCTTCAAAGCTTATATTACTTCATATGTCTTTTTTAAACATTGAACTCAAATCTTTTCCTGCTTGGCTTTCGATATGATTGTTGCTGATCAGACGCACCTGGCGAACCAACCACCACCTTATAGTAAAACCTTTACCAACAAAACCTAAACAACAAACATCAAACACATAATCTGCAGTAACGACGATAGACTTGTTTCATTCATGGTAATGCACACTTTTATACTTTTGTAGCTCCTTTTTGATTTTGAGACCAATGCAAGCAGATTATTTTCACAAGTATTCTGTAATTTTTCTTGATAAAATTATGCTAAAAACAATTATACTGATTTTCTACCTCTGATTTAGTTGCTGAAATGGGCCTAATCCATTTTTACCATGCTCCACTATAAGCAGACAAGTGGTTGGAAGATGAATGGATGGATGGATGGATGGATGAATGGATGGATGGATGGATTTTTACCATACTATAGTGATTGTTGGCATGTGTTGGCTGACCATAGACACTGATATTCTGACAGCTGAAATTAAGTTCTCTGATTTTCTCTGCTACATTTAGCAGAATTAGACAACGTAATAGTTCGCGGGCGGTTGCGTAATGAAGACATAAATGGAAATGATGCCCATTAGTGACAGACTAAACACCAAGCAACCCAAAATGGATGCAAATGAAGCTGGCGGCTGTGTGCGTATACAGTACCTGCCATTATGACCTCACAAAGGCTTTTCAGGGCCTGTTTCGTTTCATTCCCTTACACATTCTCTCCCTTAATGACCACTGCCTGCCATTAAGACCTTATGATCACTGCTCAATTAAGAAGCAGACATTTCTCTTTGCTCTAGGTTACTATTTTCGCTTTCTTTTGTTAACTCCGCCATTATTACAGTCCCTGTTGCTGGGCTCTTGCTTGTTTTGTGAATAAAGGAAGGCAGCAGTACCAACACAGGTGGCAGATTGGCTCTATAGATATTTTTCAGAAGGTTTCTCTGCAGCTGGTGCCGTTGGCTCAGACTGGGTCAGCCTACCGTAACAACTCGAGCCGTGATTTGAGTCGCCTGACAATTTGACATGATCATGCCGTGGTGGTGGGGGGGGGTTTGAAGGATGTGCGAGTGCTCTTTAAATCTCCCACTTCATGCTGTGTGACCTGTAAAGTGTAAGTAAGGCAATCAGTTTCCTTCAGACCACAGCCTGCTGCATCCAAGCGTGGGGGATGCTCAACTCTGATGCTGAATTTAAAACGGTCAAAATACAGTAGAGACTCCAGAATCCCTGGGTGATACGTTGTGAGACCTGCCGCGGATGGCCAAAATTGTGTACATATAAATGGTAAAGATTCATTGATAAATTATGCACAGTAACACATTATCAACATTAGAGTAATAATAAAGTGCATTGTACCAGTACAGTACTCTCTCTTTCACTTGAATGAAAGGGATTCTGACGTTTTAGCCTGATTCTCAAGAGATGATAGTCAATGAAAAAATATGCATCAAGGGATGACGGAGCAATGAAAATCATGCTTGTTGTACAATTTAATAGCACACTGCGATAACGTGGCAATGAC